ATTCTAGATCTTCGGGATGCTAACCAATCGACGCTCAGGATTCTAATTTTCGTAACAAATCAGGTGTGTAATATACCAGGACGTATCATTGAACAATAATATCTCTCTCTCTCTCTCATCACAGCCATCAAAGTCCATCCTCCCCCCCTTTACTCCTAACCCCCCCCCTCCCCTTTAGATCATGGCGGGAGGCTCAGGTCTGTTTCCTTGTGGGTCCTGGTAATTAGCGACCCTCCCCCAATTATACCTGGCACAGATCACCATCACTGACGCTTCTGTAAACAGGCGCCATGTTGGGCAGCATCTCACAACACGCTAATATGTTTTTCTTTTTCAATATACTGGCTACGTGGCTCTTGGGTTGATGTATTTGAGAGTTAGTCAGTATTTTGTTTATTAGTTTGCAATTATATGAAGTTTTCTTTAAGTTTGACACAAAAAAAATATCTGTAGAGTTATAGTTACGTGTATAGATAGTAAGTTAATGTACAAGCTCGGGTACAGACACAGGTATAGTAAAAACAGGTTTATAAAAACAACTCGACACAGTTAAAGTACAGGAGCAATTACATTTTGAGGAACAGGAACAGATACAGCAGATAGTAACGTAACACTGCTGACCTTCTGTACACAGTGTAACGTTACGTCGTCCTGGGCAGTAAAGTCCTCTCAGGAAAGTAGAGTCACATGATAACTTGACTCCCGTTGATATTGTCTGTTGTTGTTGTCAGTGAGGAGCTCGAACCAAAGCGTCAGTGTTAGCAGGAGGAGGAGGAGCGTCAGCAGGAAAGGAGGAGCAGGAGGAGCGTGAGGAGGAGAGTGAGGAGGAAAGGGGAAGCAGGAGGAGCGTGAGGAGGAAGTGGAGGAAGAGAACTTGTCAGATAAAATGAGTCGTTGCTCCAGTAATACACACCAGTTGTCTTGTCGGGAGTGTGGTGGTAGTAGTGTTGGTGGTTGTTGCTATCCCCTTGTTTATTTCTGTCTTCCCTCTTCCCACCCCTCACCCTAACCCCCCCCTTCCCCCTCCCTTAAGCCACGCCTCCCCCTTCATCTGTTTCTTTCCCCTTTGGTCTTTCTGTACAGCTTCCCTCCTCTCCAACCCTCCATTATACCCCCCCTTCCCTCCCTCATCCGTCTCTCTCTCTTCCCCCTTTCTCCTCAACCTACACTCCCCCCCTCCCCTCCTTCTCCTAACACTGCCTTTCCCTTTATTTTGTTTCCCCTTTCTCTCTCCATTTATTCCCCTGTTCTAGCTAATTCCAGCATCTCATCCCCTCTCCTCTCCTCCTCTCTACCTATTCTAGTTTATCCTATATTTTTACACTTACCTTCTCTCCCTTTTTGCACCCTCCCCCCCCCTTATACCGTTCACTCATCTCTCCCCCATCCCCTCTCTTTCCCTCTGTTTTTACTCGCATCTTTCCCCTCTTATCTGCCTCCATTGCATTCACCCTTTCCCCTCCCTCTGTGCATATTTGATCCTCTCGCTCTCTTCTCTTCTCCCTTTGTATCTCTCTCTCTCTCTCCCTCCATCCTCCCCTCTGCGACCTCCCCTTTGACTGTGTGTGTGTGTGTGTGTGTGTGTGTGTGTGTGTACAGTGTTTATGTGTCACCTTCGTAAAACAAAAACATGGCTGAATTTTCTTCTACTTTCTTCGTAGTAAACATTAACAAATAATTATTAACCTGAAATTGTGAAGAAAAACAAAATACTAAGAACACCACAAAATATAAATCAACAAATAAACAAATCCTGGGAAGCTAAAATAACATTTATGTAATACAATAAAAAAATATTTCCAGGAGCAACAAACAAATTTCTCTGAAATTAACACACACACACACACACACACACACGCACACACACACACACACACACACACACACACACACACCTACTCCTGACTGACAGGCCTCTGCCACTTCTCTACTGATGTTGACGTTCCACGACTAACTAATGCTCACCTCTCCCTTTCCTCACTCGCCTCACCCTTACCTCACCTTTGCTTCACCCCACTCCCTGCCTCTCCCTCACCCACCCACCCACCCACGTACTCACATAAAATCTAATCGTAAAAGACAAAATTGCTCTAAGTATAAATATAATGCGACTGATGATATAGGTCAGGTCAGGTCAGGTCAGGTCTGGTCAGGTCAGGAAAAATACCCAAAGATATATATTGATATTACTGTATAAAAATATCTACAAAAAATTATAAATACCTTTGGGATGAAAGTTATAATTCTTGATTTTTTTCCCCTAGCGGTAACACAATATGTAAATTAAACTATATGTATATTATCCAGTACACAGGTATTACGAAATATACATTATATTTGTTTGATGATAGGTATTATGTGTAAAGGTTAAAGACTATAATTAAAATATTAAAATGTTACATCCATCCATCCATCCATCCATCCATCCATCCATCCATCCATCCATCCATCCATCCATCCATCCATACATACATACATACATACATACATACATACATACATACATACCTGAATGTAATGTTAATTATCACTAATAGGTTAAAATTCCAGAAGATTACATGATAAAAAGGTTTGGGAATTATACATGAAATATACACTGACATTCATAGATATACATGAACATATGAATATAGATGAATGGGCGACGAGGTAATGGTTATTGTTGTTATGAAAGTTGTATGTAGTTGTTGTTGTGGTGAGTAGCAGCAACCCCTTCCTCTCTACAAACCCTATTTTTGCCACTCTCCAAAGCACTCACCCTCCTCTCCTTCCAGACCTCATTAATGTACGAAGCGATATGAGAGAGAGAGAGAGAGAGAGAGAGAGAGAGAGAGTATTAAATTACCATCAGAAAGTTTCCCCATTCATCTGTAGTCTCAATTACCCTTAAGAAAAAGCGACGGGAGTTAATAAACGACTCCACATTTGGGCCTGTTGTATTTATGGCCCTGGGTGTCGATAGTTTATTTGGAGGGTCGTGTGGGGACAGTAGTTTAAGGAGGGACAGTGACGGTAGTTTACAGTGAGGACGGTAGTTTATAGTGAGGACGGTAGTTTATAGTGAGGGACGGTAGTTTATAGTGAGGGACGGTAGTTTATAGTGAGGACGGTAGTTTATAGTGAGGGACGGTAGTTTACAGTGAGGGATGGTAGTTTACAGTGAGGGATGGTAGTTTATAGTGAGGGACGGTAGTTTATAGTGAGGGACGGTAGTTTAGTGAGGGACGGTAGTTTATAGTGAGGACGGTAGTTTATAGTGGGACGGTAGTTTATAGTGAGGGACGGTAGTTTATGAGAGGGAGGGGTTTAGTGAGGGACAGTGGTTTAGTGAGGGACGGTAGTTTACAGTGAGGACGGTAGATTGAGGACGGTAGTTTACAGTGGACGGTAGTTTACAGTGAGGGACGGTAGTTTACAGTGAGGGATGGTAGTTTATAGTGAGGGACGGTAGTTTATAGTGAGGGACGGTAGTTTATAGTGAGGGACGGTAGTTTATAGTGAGGGACGGTAGTTTGTAGTGAGGGACGGTAGTTTACAGTGAGGGACGGTAGTTTACAGTGAGGGACGGTAGTTTATAGTGAGGGACGGTAGTTTACAGTGAGGGACGGTAGTTTGGTCAAGGGCAGCAGTTTGGTGAGGGACGGCAGGTAAGGCAGGTGGACCAAGGTAAGGGTAATCAGGCGCCACTGTTCCCACCATTGTGTTGCTGACTCACCACCACACCTTCCTGTGGTGCACAGGCCTCCCTGCTGTAACCAGGTGGTGGGGTAGCCCTTCCCTCCGTGGCCAGGTGGTGTCCACGCTTCCCTGCTGTGACGAGCTTGAGCACACGCCCCCAGCAACACGATCAAGGGCGTGCATGATAAGCGTCAAGGATAAGCTTTTGGTTCACCCGTGCATCACGCACCGTGCTTGAACCAGACACCTCGCCATCCTGTGAGCTCACCCCAGCCAACACCGTAGTTATACTTTGGATATATGTTTCACACATCTACAACTACAACCTACATATCACTAAACACGTATAAATGTACTATACAAAATAATAAATATCTGAATTTCGAACTGATGTATAAGAGAGAGCAGACACCACACAGACGCGTTCCTCAGTACTATTTAACTAACACAAGTATCGTACACACTTACCAGACACCTGTAGGTCTCACTTGTTTCTCTACTTCCTAGTTTACCTTCCTGTCATAGAATCAATAAATCATAATAATAGGGAAACATTTAACATTAAAATTACTAAATAAACATCATGACCATATTACTTTAAAGCTTCAGGATTACGGAAGATGGAATAACATGTAATCCACTCAGTTAACATAACAATAAATACTCAACAACGTTACAAATAGTCAACATAAAAATACTATGTTCAGAAAGATAACGGAAAAATATATTACTTATAAGAGGAGTTACACAGCGGGTCATTATTATTATTAATGCTCAACAGAGTGATGGCCGTCAACTACAGGGGCCGGCCACTGAACGCTAGCTACACTGACTCCTCGTGTTTCCGGCGCCGGGCGAGTCACACGGCCCCTGAGTCTGTTGCCTGATGATACCTGGTCCCGGATTCACACAGGTGCCTCCACTCACTCTAGTCCTCCTAAATACACACCTGACCTTCTAATATAAGCTACAACACAAAGGTGGACTCCCCGATTAAATATAACGAGAAGAATTTAACTTAATAGTATTAGTCAGTTGTGTACAGTATATAACTCCAGTATAAAGACCGTGTGTATGTCTCGTGTTATTTTCTTAATACTGCAAAGAAAAAGTTGAGGATAATATTTGTCATAACTCAGAATGTATTGCCACACGCAGATGATAACCACTAACTAACAAGCTCCTTTACCCTCCCTCATGCCCCAAGTCGAAAGCATTAGATAGAGCAGTTATCAGAAGTATTTAACATATTATACACTTTAATTTACAACTTTATTTCATTTATAAATTTTATTCATTTAATATATAAAAGTACTGTCATGTTATAAGGTCAATTTCTTCGGGTACACGATGTAGTAATAGTGTGAGGGGGACGGCCCAGTGTGAGGGGGACGGCCCAGTGTGAGGGGGACGGCCCAGTGTGAGGGGGACGGCCCAGTGTGAGGGGCAGCCCAGTGTGAGGGGCAGCCCAGTGTGAGGCAGCCCAGTGTGAGGGCAGCCCAGTGTGAGGGCAGCCCAGTGTGAGGCAGCAGCCCAGTGTGGGGGCAGCCCAGTGTGAGACGGCCCAGTGTAGGGGCAGCCCAGTGTGAGGCAGCCCAGTGTGGGGGCGGCCCCAGTGTGAGGCAGCCCAGTGTGGGGGCAGCCCAGTGTGAGGGGCGGCCCAGTGTGAGGCAGCCCAGTGTGAGGGCAGCCCAGTGTGAGGGCAGCCCAGTGTGAGGCGGAGTGTGAGGGGGCGGCCCAGTGTGAGGGCGGCCCAGTGTGTGAGGGGGGCGGCCCAGTGTGAGGGGGGCGGCCCAGTGTGAGGGGGGGGCGGCCCAGTGTGAGGGGGACGGCCCAGTGTGAGGGGGACGGCCCAGTGTGAGGGGGACGGCCCAGTGTGAGGAGGACGGGCCGGCCATTTCCAGCTCATCAACATGTATCACAGAGGGAGGAGGACTGGTCGTGCGGTCGCCTTTAAAATACACTTACCACTTGACTGAAGAAGAACATCGGTCGACGGTAGTTTGTGTCTGTCTCTTGTGTTCCATAATTAGTAATTAAAGCAGAGTTTCACTGAATCGAGAAACACAACACAATGATATCTTAAGAGAGTCTACTAGTTCCGGTAGGTATTGGTGACTTGTTTTAATTTCTGCTTTACAAAATTTCACCACGTTATTTTATACAATATTATCAGGTTAAGTGTCGATCAGTAACGTGTGTAGTGAGGGTGTTGATACGTGTAGCTACAGAAGGTGATGAAGCCTCCCTGTCTTTCCTGCCAGCCAATAGTTGTCACTCAGTTGCGTTAGGGTGACAGCTGATGGCTAAATAAGACTCACGTGACGTTTCTCAGCTCCTGCATATCCAACATAAAAAAAAACACAACCCACATGATGAAAGTATGTGGGCCGTGTGCTTAATTTACCTCAAGCCCATCATGAACAGACAATTGATGTGTTCATGTATTTCATAATCATCACCACCATAAACTGGAATAAATTTTGAGAATAATTCCTTCGACCTGATATTCCACAAATTACCAGCACATATAATGAAAGTTTTACATTATCTAATTGGTCTTAATCACTCCTAACATCAACACTGTTCTCCATAAAAAAAGGTCCCTGCTGCACCCTCATAAGCTGACCTCAACATTAACAACCATCTCGACTATTTCTGCTGGAACACCGATCACTAAATTACCCGCAGCAATTTTGACGAATGGGATATAAGCAATACCTGTGGAGCCAATCAGTGACGGAGGTCGACAAACTGTGATTACTGATCAGCTTGCAGCAGGGGAGGGGAGGAAGGGGGAGAGAAAGAGAGGAGACTAAAGCGAAGGGGAAAGGAAGAGAGGAGACGGGTGGGGAGATGAGAAGAGAGGAGAGGAGAGGGGAAAAAGATGGACGATAGGGAGGGGAAGGAACGAGAGACGGGAACGAGGAAAATGGAGAAGGCAGGAGAGGGGAGACGGTAGTGGAGACGGGAGAGGAAAAAAGGAATAATCGAAGAGATGGAAGAGACAGCAAGTTTATTTACCATCCCATCCCTCTTAATTACTCCTCAATTTATCCAGGTATGGCATAGGACACGTTACCCCATATCTATACCCTCAGCAAATTTGCCACTTTCCTCCACTAACCAGGTAAGCCACAAGCCATTTCTACGCGTCCAATACGGTGGGCTTCCGATACCTACCCTTGGCCGCCACCCATTTCAACAGGTAAGATATAAGCTGTTCCCCCTCCCTCCGTGTCCTTTACTGTATCCACTATACCAAGGTAGCGGTACAGACTATTTTACCATGAGCCATATTATACTGCCTATACCTGCTATTAACCTACCACTAGCAATGTTGTTAGTGGAGAGCTCTCGTGCTGGGTATCCCTCGGGCTGAACACCATTCATGCAGCATCAAAATCTCGTTTTCAGTGTACAGGGAGCCAGGACCTGCGCTAACTGGCGTTGACTGGACACGATAAGCCGCTTTCCAATTATTTTTGGCCTAACCACTGATGGGGAGGGGGTTGGTGGGTGGCAATCCAGTGTACGATGGCATTAATGTGGATGTACACACACACACACACACACACACACACACACACACACACACACACACACACACACACACACACACACACACACAAACATACACATGGGGGCTTACACACGCACGGCCAAACATAACAGAGGCATAACATGGGATTCAAAGCCCAAATGAACACAAATGGACAGCGGAGGCGAGCGAATATATTCTGATACTGAGAGAGCACTGTCCACCGCCCGTAACACTGTCCACCGCCCGTAACACTGGGTGGGTGAAACACTGGGTGGGTGTAACACTGTCCACCGCCCGTAACACTGGGTTGGTGTAACAGAGGCCAGGTGTAACAGAATTCTGGTACAACACCACTGTGGTACAACACCACTGTGGTACAACACGACTGTGGTACAACACCACTGTGGTACAACACGACTGTGGTACAACACCTCACACGAGCCAACAGGTAGCAGCACCTCCACCACAAGGTGTACACAGATGGTGCAGTGTCACGACGTGGGAGTAGGTGGCTCGGGGCTAGATGGCCTGGGGACAGCTGGTGTCTCGGTGTGAGAGTGTGCGAGCAGCTGTCGTGGGCACAGGTGGCATGGGACCAGCTGCCGTGGGGAACAGGTGGCGAGGGGGAAGTGAGAGCATGTGGAGAGAGAGGGAGGAGGACTGGGTGACGCATTCTTGGCCAGTATTGAGGCAGGGACGTGGAGGCTGTCTGTAAGATGAAGTCTCTCTTACACACACACACACACACACACACACACACACACACACACACATGTAGGTTTCTATCCGAACCTCGAAACGTACATACATACATACAAACAGATACAGTATATTAGTTTCAAGGCTGCACACTCCAGCACAAAACACACAACTCCACATAACTCAGGCACCTCGCATGTCATGTCGGGGATAAGGAGTAAGTCAATATTGTTCTTTATTTAACACACACAAACACGAGAACACACGAGGACACAAAGGCTTCGTACAGCAATGAATCACAAACTGGATATAATTTACACCTCTCCGGGTTAATTTTTTATCGTTGTTTATTTAATTACTTATTCTCTCTTTTTTCCTTTTTTTCGGGGGGGGGGGGAGGCAGTCACGAACTTGGGGCCTCAAATAATCTAGGTTAAAAAGTGTTTCTAACCTAATCTGATCTAACCTAACCAAACCTAAGCTAACAGAACTTAACCTTATTTTTTTTCAAGTGTTGTGGGAGGAGCCATTGAGCCAAGGTGTGGAAGGACAGGTGAGAATGACATCATCACTACCATTACCACCCGAGGAAAAAATCTTCTACAACTACTAACACCATCCCACCACAAACTACTACTACTACTACAAGCGCCACCAGTGACTACAACCATAAAAATATTACAACTACCATCAACTACTACCACCATCAACCACTACAATCACCACCAATCACCACAATCCCCACCACATGACAGAGGCCACAATATATACCGTACTATACTAAGATCCATGTTTCAATGTCGTGCCGTTTAGTTCACCCTCACAGCGGTACGGGACGGAATACCCCCATAAGGAAGACCTGGGTGGTGGCTGCCAGTTCAAAGTGTCCATTTAAACCACGTGATCCACGACCAACTTGGCGGCGGCTTCCACTGGTCTCCGTCATGCCCCCCAGCCCCATGACCTAGCTATACTCGAGGAGCATTTTAGGGCGATATTCTCAACTAGAACAAGGCACAATCCATCCATTTCTACCTGGTCTCACGAGTCTGTCCTCACTTAATCGAAAATCTGGTTCACCTGCCGCCTCGTCAAATCGTAATTTCGCCCCAGCTTGAGGTTTTGTGGTCTCTGTCGACGATATATGAAGCCTTTATTCCCTACCATCTTGTAAGCTGCTAAAAGAACACAGAATCAAAAGCGTATTAGGGGTCTCTCTCTCTCTCTCTCTCTCTCTCTCTCTCTCTCTCTCTCTCTCTCTCTCTCTCTCTCGACGCCTGAACACAATGCATACATTTACTCTCACTACCAAAGGCATTAGTTTGTTTTGAAAGGTCTCGTGTGTTGGGATATTTCGAGCTAAATAATATCTAGTGGGTGAAGAAGCTCCCACCCCCCATCCCCCCCCAACCCCCCAGTGGCAACGTGACCGTATATTAGAGTGTTGGGGGAGGGAGGGGGTGGGGGGGAGGGAGGGAGGAGGACAAAGTGAGGGGCTACAGGCAGAGGGAATGGAGAAAGGAGAAAAAAAAGAGGAATAAAAAATGAGACGAATGTACAGACTGGGGAGCGAGACGAAAGATGAAAGAGGAGGAAAATTGGGGAAGGGGACGAATGGAATAGGACAATAGAGAGAGAGAGAGGAGAGAGGAATACCAAAAAAAAAAGAGAGATGGAGAGAGAAAGAGAGTGAGCACTGGACGTGAACACATCCTAGAGTTCCCTCCCTCTCTCCTTTACTCCCTCAATCCTCCTCCCCCCCCTTCAACATCCTCATTCTCCTCATACACATTATCCTCATCTTGACTCACGACTCACCCAGACCACACCAGAGATACGTGTTAGACCTGCATAAAAAAAATACATCTCTCTCTCTCCCTTTTTGTTTTTAATCGACGGCGTCCAATTTACCCTCCACGGCGCGGTGTTGTCCCAAATTGTAATTACTACCATAGTATTCCATGTGAGGGGGGGGGGCACTGGGTGAGGGGATGAGAGGATAGAGTAACGAAGGAGAAATGAAAAAAAGAGAGAGAGAGAGAGAGAGAGAGAGAGAGAGAGAGAGGTAATGCTAATGGAAGAGGAGGAAGAATGTGAGAGATGGGAGGTAAAATGTGAGGGGAAAGGGGGGATTAAGAGGGGTAGCAGTGAGGGGAGATGATAAGTGGTTCCTCACGTCCCATGGGAGGTCACACAATACTCCCTTAAACTGATACACCCTTATAGTACCCCCCTTCTCACCCCCTCCTCACCCCCTCCTCACCCCAGGGACACGTGATGCATAGATTAAATTTCCATCCTGATTGATCTGTACTGAAACCAAGAGTACAGTTAAAAGTAGTACAAATAAAGTAAACCCTCCCAATACCGGATTAATTCTTGCCTGTAAAACCACCCCAATACCAGATTAATTCTTGCCTGAAAAACCTCCCAATACCGGATTAGTTCGTGTGTAAATAAACTCCCAATACAGGACTAATTCTTGTAAATAACTCCTCTCAATACCGAACTCTTGTAAATAGTCCCTCCTAATACCGGACTAATTCTTGCAAGCCCTGTCCGTTATTGGGAGGTTTCTGTTAATGAGAAGTCTGTTATTAAGAGGGTTTACTATACAAGCAAAGATACAGTTGCAAATACAGTTACGGAATGGAA